ACCACCACGGGCATCCAAGAAGGGGGAGTGCCAAACGGTTGACTTAGCCAGAAAGGCCAGCATTGGATTGACAGAGATGCTTGCCACTTCCCGTGTTTCATGCCCTAATCGGGCCCTGTGTCAAGCTGTGGCTAGATTTCCAATGAGGGCAAAAGCAAGAGACGTGGGAACCATCTTCTTTGAGGTCATTGGGCAGCCCTCCTGCTGGTGGAGAGTGAGCTGTCATGAGGCTTTTGTTCATGGCTGGGGGGTGTGGTCATCTTGGTTCTAAGAAAGAGCCCATTCAGGATGGGAAGCTGAATGAAACCCATGTTGGACCAAAGCAGTTCCCTCCCCACATTGACCAGGTCTTCACAAATGGCAGCTGGAACCCAGGTAGAGACTAGGGAAGAGGCTCAGCCAAAGAGAATCCATCATGCATGAAACCACCCTCTAGCCTGCAGGGCACATGCATTCCAACACCTACACACAAACACACACACACAGATGCAGAGAAAGAGAAAGAGAGACAGTGGGAAAGAAGAGAGAGAGAAATCAAAGAGATATTCAGATGCACACACAAAAAGAGCACCCCTTCTACACACAGACACACAGCAGTGGCAGAGTATCACCCACCCCCAGGCAGCTTCACTGCAGTGGTCTGTTGTCCGCCACTAGGACCCTTGAGTGAGAGAGCAGCCCACAGGCACACAGGCAGAGGTGTCCTGGAGATGAGCAGGGCACAACATTTGGGAAGACTCGCCTGTACTTTGTTGGTGCAAGCCTGAGACAGGGATTCCATGCTGCTTCCCTGGTGCTCCCTCCACCTGAGGTTTCTTCCTCCTGGCCCCACTTCAGCGAATCCTGGCCTCTGGAGAGTATCCTGTGGATGCGCTGGTGAGAAGGCTCCTGAGCCCCATTTCTCACACACTGCCAAAGGGGGATCTTCCTGTGTGACATCTCAGGAACCCATCACCTGGGCAATGTTAAATGTCACTATGACCCTTAGAGCAGCTCGTGCCTTATTCATGCACACTAGTGAGGCCAAGTCGAGTCAAGCCTGGCTCCAGGAAGTCAGGCTGTTGCCCCTTTAAGAAATGTCTGCAGCAGAGGTAGCAGCAGAGAAAGCGGGGGCAAAAGCGGCAGGTTTGGGCAGGCCTAGTAAAGAGGCATGCAAGAGACCAAGCCAAGGTCAAGTTCAAGAGAACTCAAGTACTCAGGGACTCCATGAACTATCAGAGGAAATTCAAGGCTCCCAATGGGCTCTCTGGACTCCACCCTGGATCCCATTTTGGATCCCACCTGGGTAAGTGGGAATGGGATTACAATGGACAGAGGAGGGAAGGCCCTCACTGGGACCCAGAGATATCGCATGGACCCCAAGGCATGGTGTTCCCACCCCGCCAACACAAAGGTACCCTGGACGCAACCACCCCTGTACCCAGCGAAACCCAATCCATGTAACTTGCTCCCTGGCATCAGTGAGCAGCTAAAAGTTTCAGTGGTCAAGGCCCTTTCCCCAGAAGCAGTGGAGCCAGATAGACCACTAGAATGAGAGAGGGAAAGCAGCAGGATTGCAACACCATCTTGTGGGGAGGGCAAATGCCAGCCAGGCAGCCAGCCAGTGGGACATGGAGAACAAGACAGCATCCCTGTCCCATGTGGGGATGGAAGCCCAGAGCTCCAGGATGATCACATCTCTCCAATCATCCAGAAACAGCATTGGAGGGTGAAACAGACATGAATCACATCCCCAGAAAGTTTTCTCACCGCTGGACTGGGTAGTATTCTCTGTTGAAGACACTGAGCCAAATCAAGAAGCATCTAGGCTTCTCAGAAACAGGGCAGACACAGAGAGAGGGAGGATAGAGCCTAAGCAAGAGTCCAGGCCAAATACAGCACACTGCCACCTCCTTGGACATTGGGGGTGGAGGAGAAAGCCAAGTGGATTACTTGGCAAGAAGGGCCAGCATTAGAGTGACAGACGCTTGCCAGTTCCCGTTTTTGGTGCCCTGTTACTGCTCTGTGTTGAGAAGTGGCTAGATTTCTCAATGAAGGTAAAAGCAAGAGAAGTGAGAACCATCTGCTCTGAGGTCGGTGGGCAGACCTCCTGCTGGTGGATGGTGAGCTGTGGTGAGACTTTTGTCCGTGGCGGGGGTGTGTGGTCATATAACTCCTAAGAAAGAGGCCACTCAAAATGGGGAAGTGACTGAAGCCCATGCTGGTCCAACACAGCTGCCTCCCCATGTTGCCCAGGCCCTCACAAACACCAGCAGTAACAGTTGGGGAAACAAGTGATGGCCAGCAATGCAACCCAGGCAGAGAAGTGGGGAGAGGCTTAGCAAAAGAGAGGCCATCGTGTAAGAAACCACTCTCCCACACACAGGGCACACAAGTCCCAACACACACACACACACACACACACACACAGAGAGAGAGAGAGAGAGAGAGAGAGAGAGAGAAGGAGAGAGAGGGGTGGGGGAGAGAGAGCAGGGGGAGAGAGAGAGAAAGCGGGAAAGGAGAGAGACATCAGGGAGACATACTGGTGCACACAAACAAGACACCTTCCACCCACACAGACACACAAAAGTGGCAGAGTATAACTCACCCCCAGCCAGCCCCTGAAGTTGCAGGATTCTGTTGCCCACCACTAGGACCCTCGGGTGAGAGAGCAGCCTGCGGGCACACAGGTGTCCTGAAGATGACCAGGGCATGACATTTGGGGAGAGTCATCTGTACACCATTTGCACAGGTCTGAGACTGGGATTGTTCACTGCTTCCCCTGCCCTCCCTCCACTTGAGGTTTCTTCATCCTGGCTGACCCTCAGCAAATCCTGGCCTCTGGAGGCTATCCTGTGGATGTCCTGGTGAGGAAGGGTCTGAGCCCTGATACACTGCCACAGGGGGCTCCTCTTTTGTGATGTCTCGAGAACCCATCACTGGGGCCACAGTGAATGTAACTATGACCTCAGGAGCACTTGGCTCTGGGAAGTCAGGCTGTGGCCCCTTTAAGAAATGGTGTGGCAGAGGTGGTGGTGGTGAAATTGGCAGTGAAAGCAGCGGGTGTGAGGTGGCCTAGGAAAAGGGCATGCACGAGATCAAGCCAGCTTCAAACCAATGGGGCTCATGTCCTCAGGTTTTCCATATGCGAGCTGTCTTCTGCTTCAGCTCCAGGCAGAAGAGATTCAGGGTGCCTTATGGGCTTTCCAGACTCTGACTCAGATTCCATTTTGGATCCCATCAGTGTAAGGGGGAATGGGATTACAATTGAGAGAGGTAGGAGGGACCTTGCTGGGGCATAGAGAGATCCCATGGGCCCCAAGGCATGGTGTCATCACCCCACCACATGGTAGGTACCCCAGATTCAACCTCCCCTGCACCCAGCAAAAACAAATCCCTTTGGCTCATTTCCTGGCATTCGTGGCAGACAAAAGATTCAGTGCTTGTATTCACTTTCCCCAAGAGCAGATGAGCCGAATGGCCCTCAAGAATGAAAGAGAAAGGGCAGGTGAGCTTCAGTAACTCAATGTGGAGAGGGCAAAGGCCAGCCAGGAAGCCATCCAGTATGACATGGAGACCAAGAGAGCATCCCTGTCCCATTGGGGATGGAAGCACAGAATGCTATCATTATTGCACCTGCCCAATCATCCAGAAACAGTCTTGGAGGGGGAAACAGACATGAAAGGCATTCCCACACGATGTTTACCCCTGCTGGATTGGGGAGTGTTATTTGTTGAAGACACTGAGCCAGATGAAGAAGCCTCTAGTCTTTTCAGAAATGCGGCAGCCATAGAAAGAGGGAGGACAGAGCCTAGGCCAGAGTCCAGAGCAAATGCAGCACAATGCCAATCCAACTCCACAGGCTTCTGGGAGGGGGGTAGTGCCAAACAGCTGACTTGGCCAGAAAGGCCAGTGTTGGAGTAAGAGAGATGTTTGCCTCATTCTGTTCTTGGCACCGTGTTTCAGCCCTGAGCTGTGGCTAGATTTCTCAATGAGGGCAAAGGTGAGAGAAGTGAGGTCAATGGGGAGCCCTCCTGCAGGTGGACAGTGAGCTTTTGTCCATTGCTGCAGGTGTTATTGACTTTGTCCTAAGAAAGTGGCTGCTTAGGATGGGGAGGTGACTGAGACCCAAGCTGGTCTGAGAGAGCTCCCTCTCCACATTGCCCAGGCCTTCACAAATGCCAGGTGGATCCACCAGGGAAACAACTGACAACCATCTAAGCGACACAGGCAGAGACGAGGGGAGAGGCTTAGCAAAAGAGAGGTCGTCATGCAAGAAACTGTCCTCTGGTGCACATGTGTCCCAACACACACACACAGAGTGAGAAAAAGAGGGAGCAGGAAAGAAGAGAGAGAGAAATCAGAGAGAGATGTACAGGCGTATACACACAAAGATCCCTCCCACAAACACAGACATTCAGCTGTGTCAGAGTATCACTCACCCCTAGACAGCCATTGAAGCTGCAGAGTTCTCTTGTCCACGACTAGGACACTCAGCTAAAGAACAGCCCATGGGCACACAGGCAGAGGTGTCCTGGAGATTACCAGGGCAAGCCATTTGGGGAGACTCACCTGTACCCCATTGGCACAGGCCTGAGACTGAGATTCCTGCTTCCCTGGCACTCCCTCCACCTTAGATCTCTTCCTTCTAGCCCACCTTCAGTGAATACTGGCCTCCAGAGACTATCCTATGGATGTCCTGGTGATGCGGGGCCTGAGCCTCGTTCTGACACACTGCCACAGGGGCTTATCCTTTGTGATGTCTCAGGAAGCCATCACTGGGGCAATGACAAATGTAAGTATGACCCTAGGAGCAGCTCCTGCCTCCTACATGTTCACTGGTGAGGCAACTCGACTCTTGCCTGGCTCTGGGAAGTCAGGCTGCAGCCCCTTTAAGAAATAGCTGTGAGAGAGATGGAGGCAGAGAAAGCGGCCAGGAAAGCGGCGGGTTTGGGGATGCCAGGGAATGGGGTGTGTGTGAGATTAAGCCAGGGTTAAACACACAGGACTCATGTCCTCAGGGCCTCCAGGAGTGAGGGATCTTCTGCTTTGGCTCCCAGCAGAAGAGGAGATTCAGGGCACCTGATGGGCTCCTCGGACTCCACATCGTTTCTTATGTTGGATCCCACCTGGGTAAGCGGGAATGGAATTACAGTGGAGAGAGGATGGAAGGGCCACACTCTGGCACTGAGAGGTCCCATGGGACCCAAGGCATGGTGTCTCCACCCTGTCACCCAGCAGGTTTCCTGGAGGCAACTTCCCTTTCGCCCAGTGAAAACCAATCCCTTTGGCCCGCTCCAGGCATCCATGGAAGCCAAAAGATTCAGTGCTTCAAGACACTTTCCCCAGGAGCAGAGGAGGCAGATGTCACTCAAGAATGAGAGAGGAAAGGCAGGAGACTTGCAACACCACCTTGCAGAGAGGGCGAAGGCCAGCCATCCAGTGGGACATGGAGACCAAGAGAGCATCCCTGTCCCACACGGGTTTGGAAGCACAGCTCTACAGTCATTGCACCTGCCCAATCCTCCAGAAACACCTTTGGAGGGGGAAACAGACATGAAACACATCCCCACAAGTTTTCCCCCTGCTGTACTGGTGAGTGTTCTCTATTGAAGACACTGAGCCAGACCAAGAAGTCTCAAGGCTTCTCAGAAACTGAGCTGACAGAGAAAGAGGGAGGACAGAGCCTATGCCAGAGTCCAGGCCAAATACAGCAAAATGCCACCTCCATGGGCATTGGGTACTATGGTGCCCATTGTGCATTGCATTATCTTGCCTTACCATGGTGCACGTGAGGTCTTGCCTTGCCATGCCTTACCATGGTACCCATGGTGTATTATTTGCCTTGCCTTATCATATTACCCATGGCCCTTTGACTTTCCTTGCCTTGCCTTAACTTAGTGCCCATATTGCCTAGCTGTGCCTTTTCATGGTGCCCATGGTGCCAGGCCTTACCTTTCCATGAATTACCACTGTGCCCATTGTGCCTTTCCTTGCCTAACCTTGCCTTGTCTTGCCTTACCATGGTGCCCATGGTTACTTACCTTGCCTTGCCTTTCATTGCTTGTCTTGTATTACCATGATAACCATGGTGCCTAGCACCACCTTGCATTGCTTACCAGGCTGCCCATGTTGCCTTGCTTTGCCTTGCCTTGCCTTAACATGGGGCCCTAGGTGCCTTACATTGCTGTGCTTGCTCTGCCTAACTATAGTTCCCATGGTGCCTTGCCTTGCTTGCCATGGTGCCCAAGGTGCCTTGCCTTTCATTGCCTTGCCTTACCTTGGGGCCTACGTTGCCTTCCACGTTTTCCTTCCCTTACCATGGTGCCCAAGGTGCCATAGCTCACCTTTTCGTACCATGGTGACCATGGTGACTTCCCTTGTCTTGCCTTACCATGGTGTTCATGGTGCCTTGCCTTACCTTGCCTTACAATGTTGCCCAGAGTGACTTACCTTGCCTTACTTTGCCTTACCATTTTGCCCACGGTGCCTTGCCTTGCCTTACAATGGTGCCAGTGGTGTCTTGCCTTGCCTTACCATGGTGCATATGATGACTTGCCTTTCTTAACCATGGTGCCCATGGTGCTTTTCCTTACCTTACCATGGTGCCCAGATGCCTTGCCCTATCTTGACTTACGAAGATGCCCATGGTGCTCTGCCTTGCCTTGCCTTTTTTTACCATGGTCCTCACTGGTGCCTTGCCTTGACTTACCTTCCCTTGCCTTACCATGGTGGTTACAGTTCCCTGCATTCCCTTTTCTTACCAGGTTGCCCATGGTGCCTTGCCTTGCCTTACCATGGGGACCATGGTGCCTTGCCTGGCTTTGCTTTACCTAACCATGGTGCCTGTGGTGACTTGTCTTGCTATTCCTTTCCTTGCCTTGTCTTGACCTAAGATGATGCCCACGGTGTCTCTCCTTGCCTTGCCATGCATTACTATGGTGCCCATGGTGTCTTGCGTTGCCTTGCTTTGCCTTACTATGGTGCCCATTGTGCCTTGCCTTGACATGCCTTGGCTTGCCATTGTGCCCATGGTGCCTCGCCTTGCCTTGTCTTGCCTTAACATGGTGTCCATGTTGCCTTGCCTTGCTTTGCTGTTCTGTAGTCCACATGGTGGCTTTCCTTGCCTTGCCTCATCATTTGCCACAAAGCCCATGGTGCTTCGTCTTGCCTTGCCTTACCACACTTTCCAGGGTGCATGGCTTGCCTTACTATGGTGCTGATGGTGCTTTGTCTTGCCTTGCCTTGCCTTGTATTGACTTTCCATGGGGCCAATGATGCCTTTCTTTGCCTTGCCTTACCATGCTGACCATGTTGCCTTGTCTTGCCTTATCGTTCATTGCCTTGCCATGCTTAACATTGTGCCCATGGTGCCTTGATTTGCCCTGCCTTGACATTGTGCCAATATTGCCTTGCCTTGTCTTCCCTTCCCTTGCCTTTCCATGGTGCCCATGGCGCCCTGCCTTGCCTTGCCTTTCCTTAACATGGATCTGAATGTTTCTTGCTTTGCCTTGCCTTGCCTTACCATGCTGCACATGATGCCCAGAGTTTCCTTGCTTTACCACAGTGCCCATGCCTTGCCTTACCTTGGTGCTTTGTCTTGCCATGTCTTGCCTTGCCTTACCTTGGTGCTGATGGTGCACTGCCTTGTCTCACCTTGCTTTGCCTTCCTTTTCCATGCTGCCCATGCTGCCCATGATGCCTTGCCTTACCATGGTGCCCGTATTGCCTTGCATTGCCTTACCTTACCATGGTGCCCATGGTGCCTTGCCTTGCATGGTCTTACTATGGTTACCATGGTGTTTTGCCTTTCCTTGCCATGCCTTACTATGGTGCCCATGGTGTCTTCCCTTGCCTTGCCTTGCCTTGCCTGTCTTTGCCTTGCCTTACCAAGGTTCCAAAAGTGCCTAGCCTTGCCTTGTCTTACCATTGTGCCCATGTTGACTTCCCTTGCTTGCCTTGCCTTGCCTTACTATGGTGCCCATGTTACCTTGCCTTACCTTGCCTTACCTTTTGATTGACTTATCATGGTGCCCAAGTTGCCTTGCCTTGACATGCCTTACCATGGTGTCAATGGTGCCATTCTTCCCTTGCCTTGCCTTGCTTTGCATTACCATGGTTTCCAGAGTGCCATTCCTTGTCATGTGTTACCATGGTGCTCATGGTGCCTTGCATAGCCTTGCCTTACAGTGCCTTACCATGATGCCCATTTGGCTTGCCTTGCCTTGCTTTGCCTTACCATGGTACCTGTTTGGAAAACTCTGCCTCTACCTTGAAAGCTCTCTCTCTCTTCCCCCCTGCCCCCACAGAGAGGCTCTCCTATTTTTACAAACTGCCCTGGCCTTCTCGCCTCCGCAGCCACCTCCCGCCGCTTTTGCCTTATCAGCACTCCCCCCGCCGCTTATGCCTCCTCAGCACTCCCCAGTTTCCCGCCGCCCGGCTTCCCGCCTAGCGGTTCAAACTGGCCAACAGCTGCCCACCACCTAGCCCCCAACTCTTCCTCTCCTCCAGCCCTTCTACCCTTATAAGACAACTCTGCCCCTCTGGGCAGCGTGGCCATTTTTCCTTTTCGTCCCGGCTGGCACGCCCGGAGGCTCTTTCCTCTCAATAAAGCCTGAACTTAAGAACTTTCTTCTTGCCTGCGGTCCGGTTTTTTTCCGAACGAGCTCAGTCTTCCCGCAGAGGGTAGGTCGGACAAGTGGTGCCGGAAACCCGGGACGGGAGGGGCCATTGGCCCTGCCACGGCCCCCCTCCCCGACCTACCCAACACTGGCCCTGCCACCACGCTCTGATTAAGGTAAGCCAAGTTTTTCTTGTTTTGCCTTCCCCCGCTTCCCGTCTCCTCTTCCTACGGCACGGTGCAGTTGCTCCCCTCCGGCGTTCCGCACGGACTCCTTGCCTAGTCTCGGCCGAGCCAAGGTAGTCTTCTGTTCCGGCTCCAGGAGCCTTCCGAGGGACAGCCGCCAGACGGGGGACGCCCCTCTGACCGCTTCCCTTTCCGTACTTAATTGTACTCCGGGGAATTTGCAGCGAACGGGGACGCCTTTTCGTTGCATCTGCCCTTCCACGCCGGAGAGTCTGTAGCTGCACCTGCCATGGGAAATTCGGAGTCCAAAATACCTCTGAGCACCCCCCTTGGGTGCTTGCTGCGAAATTTTACCAAATTGGGATATTCCCAAACCCTCAGAAAGAAAAAGCTTGTTTTCCTGTCCCAGGTGGCTTGGCCCCAATACAAACTCAGTAACCAGTCACATTGGCCCCCGACTGGCACTTTTGATTTCAACACCCTCCGAGATCTCGACGATTTTTGTCGCCGCGCAGGCAAGGACAATGAAATTCCTTACGTCCAGGCTTTTTGGGACCTCCGCACCCACCCTGACCTATGTTCTTCCTGCTCCACCTATCAAATCCTCTTGGCTCGAACCCCCCATAAATCTTCCTCCACTACCTTTCCCCCTCCCTACTCCTCACCAGAGGATCTGCCTGAACATCTGTCCTCTCCTGCCAATCTCAGCAACCAGTCGCCATCAACGGCACGCTCTTCCTCTACTCCCTCTGCACCTCCTGCCTCAGAGGCCATGCCTCACTCTTCCTCTACTCCCTCCGAGCCCCCTCCCTCAGAGGCTGCACTTCCTCTTGCCTCTCCGGTGGCAGACCACACCCGCTCTCACAAGCCAGCTATCCTAGCCCCACTCCGAGAAGTAGCAGGCGTGGAAGGTTTAGTCAGGGTCCATGTTCCTTTCTCACTTCAAGACCTGTCCCAAATTGAGAGACGTTTAGGATCCTTCTCAGCCGACCCGTCCACCTATATTAAGGAATTCCAATACCTCACTCAAGCCTACAGCCTCACTTGGCATGATATTCGCGTTGTCTGTTCCTCCACCCTCACAGTGGAGGAGCACGAGCGCATCCTCGCTGCAGCCAGAAACCAAGCAGATAAAGACCATGCTATAGATAACCAGATCCCCCTAGGCCCTGAAGTAATCCCAGGTGAAGACCCCCAATGGGACTATCAGGCTAATCGAGAGTCTGATATACCCAAGAGGGACCGCATGATTAGATACCTCCTCAGGGGAATGGATGCTGTATCTAACAAAGTTGTAAACTATGATAAACTGAGAGAAATCACCCAACTACCTGATGAGAACCCCGCCCTCTTTCTCGCCCGCTTGCAAGAAGCCCTAGTCCGGTATACTCGACTAGATCCAGCCTCCCAAAACGGGGCCACTGTATTAGCCTCCCATTTTATCTCCCAATCAGCACCCGACATAAGAAAGAAACTAAAGAAAGCAGAAGAGGGGCCAGAGACTCCCATCCAAGACCTGGTAAAAATGGCCTTTAAAGTATTCAATGCCAGGGAGGATGCGGCTGAGGCTGCCCGCCAAACTCGCATGAAGCAAAAGGCTGCCTTCCAGACCCAAGCCCTAGTGGCGGCTCTAAGGCCGGCAGGGAACCAGAGGCCCAAGGCCGAAACCCATGCCCCTCCGGGAGCATGTTTCAAATGTGGAAGGGAAGGACACTGGTCCCGAGCCTGTCCACAACCACGGCCACCAACTAAGCCTTGCCCTATCTGTCAGCTCCCGGGACACTGGAAGTCAGACTGCCCCAGCTTCCCCAGGGTGCCGGTTCCTCAAAACAGACACACTGGCGTTACGCAGCCGGCGGTCACCCTCAGTAGGGAGGAGCCTGCTTGCCAGGAGCCGATCTCCGAGGGAACTCCGTTCCCCAGTCTACTAGGGCTGCTAGACGACTAGCGGGGCCCTGGCTTACCGACTCCGGTTACCCTCGCTGAGCCAAGGGTCAAAATTCAGGTAGCGGGTAAAAGTGTCTCGTTCTTGCTCGACACGGGGGCTACCTACTCCGCACTTCCTTCTTATTCTGGCCGTCTCACCCCTTCCCAGGTCTCGGTCATGGGAATTGACGGGACCCCGAGTATCCCCTACCAAACCCCACCACTCATGTGCTCATATAACTCCACTCCCTTCACCCATTCCTTTTTAGTAATCCCCACCTGCCCAGTTCCCCTTCTGGGGCGAGACATCCTTTCAAAGCTGAAGGCCGTCATAACCTTCCCCTCCGCCAACCCACACAGTCTCTTTCTCCTAGCCCTCACCTCAGACACTGAACCCCAAAAAGCCCTGTCAGAACTACTCCCCGGAGTCCACCCTCAGGTCTGGGACATTAACAACCCATCTGTAGCTACACACCACCAGCCAGTTCAAGTCCGCCTTAAAGACTCCTCGCCTCATTTTCTCTGCCACCCCCAATTTCCTATCTCTAAAGCCCACCGTATGGGTATCCGACCCATCATAGAGAAACTAAAAGGTCAAGGCCTCCTAATTCCCATTAACTCCCCATGTAACACCCCCATCCTCCCAGTACGAAAACCATCAGGACAATATAGGCTAGTCCAGGACTTGCGCTTAGTCAATGAAGCTGTAATTCCCATACATCCAGTTGTCCCCAACCCGTACACCATTCTCTCTCTAACATTCCCCCAGAGGCCACCTGTTTCTCAGTCTTAGACCTAAAGGATGCCTTCTTTACTATACCTCTACACCCCAACTCCTACTTTATCTTTGCCTTCACTTGGGATGATCCCCTCATGAACATGTCCCAACAACTGGCCTGGACAGTCCTTCCACAGGGCTTCCGAGATAGCCCACACCTATTCGGCCAGGCACTTGCCACTGACCTACTCCACTGCAACCTCAAGCCCTCTCACCTCCTCCAGTATGTAGATGACCTTCTTATCTGCTCCCCCACCCGCCAGGAGTGCATCCAGGCCACCACCGCCCTGCTCAATTTCCTAGGAGATAAGGGATACCGGGTGTCACCAACCAAAGCACAAATAGCCTCACCCACTGTCACCTACCTAGGCATACAGCTCACACCTGGGCGACGGTCCATTACAATCGACCGACTACAAGCCTTAAAGGCGCTCCAGGCCCCTGAGTCAGCAAAAGAAATCCTCTCCTTCCTAGGACTGGTAGGTTTTTTCCGCCATTGGGTACCTAATTATGCTTTGCTAGCAAAACCTCTATACCATGCTGCTGCAGAAGCCCCCGAGGGACCACTCTCCTCACCAGGTTCTGTCAACTGGGCATTCAAGTCACTGCTTAGTGCCCTATGTACTTCCACCAGCCTAGCCCTGCCTAATCCCAACTTACCCTTCCAACTATATACAGACGAGAAACAACATACAGCTGTAGGAGTGCTAGTCCAACCAGTAGGAAAGACCCTTCTGCCTATAGCCTACCTGTCTAGACAACTTGACCCAACTGAGCGAGGATGGCAGCCATGTCTTAGAGCCCTAGCTGCAGCCGTCACCCTAACCACAGAAGCTCTTAAGATCAATCTACAACTCCCACTCCAAGTCTTTTCTCCACACAGGTTGACTGAACTGCTCAGTCAACACTCTCTGCCCCACCTCGGGCCCTCCCGTATTCAACTGCTTCACCTACTGTTTATTGAGAACCCCAACATCACTCTTTCTCACTGCTCCTCATTAAACCCAGCTATCCTCCTCCCTTGCCCTCCGTTCTCCGGCCCCCTACATTCCTGTACTGAAATCCTCAAATTAGCCCAGTCTCCTCGTCCCGACTTGCTACCTCAACCCCTACCATCTGCCTCCATTACCCTATTCGTTGATGGCAGCTCTATACCTCATTCCACCGGCCCACGGAGAGCGGCCTATGCTGTAGTAACTCACTCTGAAATCATAGAGACCCGTCCCCTTCCTCTTGGGACCACTTCACAACAGGCTGAATTAGTCGCCCTTACTCGGGCCCTATCCTGGTCCCAGAACAAAGAAGTAAATATATATACTGACTCCAAGTATGCCTTCCTCATAGCTCACTCACACTGCATGATCTGGAAGGAACGAGGCTTCCTCACCACTAAGGGCACGCCCGTTCTCAATGGAAAACTCATTGCTGCCCTTATTCAAGCCGTTCAACTCCCTAGCAAGGTAGCCATCATCCACTGTAAAGGGCATCAGTCCCTGAACTCACCCATAGCAGCAGGGAATGCCTTTGCAGACAGGGTAGCTAAAGACATGGCAAGAAACCATCCACCACCCACCTCCACTCTCTGTTTCTTGTCCAAATCATATAGCCCTCAATACTCTACCTCAGAACTCCAGGCCCTCCAGTCTACCCCTGGGGTACGGTTCAGGGATGATTGGGCCTTCAAGCATAACCTCCTCATCCTCCCCGAAAAGCAAAAGTACCAGATAATCCAAGACATCCACAATTCACTCCACATTGGGCCTAAAGCCTTATACCGGTTCCTCAACCCACTTTTTCACCCTCACCATCTCCTCAGTACCATACAGGAAGTCCAGTCCTCATGTACTGTCTGCGCAAAAACTAATTCCCAGGGTTCCTGTCATCCTCGGCGCCAGCTTCATCAGCTACGCGGGTTCCTACCTGGCCAAGACTGGCAAATTGATTTTACCCATATGCCAAAGCACAAACAGTACCGGTATCTGCTAACCATTGTTGACACTTTTTCAGGCTGGATTGAAGCTTACCCCACAGCCTCTGAGTCTGCCGGGACAGTAGCCACTCATCTCATTCAAGACATCATCCCACGCTTTGGACTCCCGGCTACCATACAGTCAGACAACGGCCCAGCCTTTATCTCCAAAGTCATTAATGCCGTTTCTACTTCTCTAGGAATTCAGTGGAAGCTACACGCCACCTACCATCCTCAGTCCTCTGGTAAGGTGGAACGGGCCAATGGCCTCATAAAGGAGCATCTGACCAAGCTCATGCTTGAGCTCCGCCAATCCCGGGTAACCTTGCTTCCTATAGCCCTCACCAGGCTGAGAGCAAGCCCCCGGGGCCCATCACAGCTTAGCCCATTTGAGCTGCTGTACGGTCGCCCCTTCCTACTTTCAACTCCCCCACCACCAGAGACCACTCCTCTAGACAGCTACCTCCCCTACTTTACTCTCCTTCGCAGCCTTCTCCGAGAACACGCCAACGCTTCTCTTCCCCAACCCACCCAGCCATCTGAAAATACACAGAAAGTCTCCCCCGGGGACTCAGTCCTTATCAGGACCCTCTCCCCAAAGCCCCTCACCCCCAAGTGGGAAGGACCATACACAGTCCTCCTTACCACTCCATCAGCTATAAGAGTTGCTGAAATCCCATCTTGGGTCCACCTGTCTCGGGGTAAAAAAGGCCCCTCATGGACCCTCCCAATGCTGGAAGGCTGTTCCTACTGGCCCTTTATCTGTCAAACTTACCAGGGCCTAGCAGCCACACCCCCTATAGATGGAGATTCTTCCTAACTGAAAACTATACCAAAACCACCTTCATTTGTAATACCCCCCATACAGCCACAACCATCTTCTTGCAACTTCCGACTGCCCCGCAGCCGGATGCCAAAAGGCCATATATCTGAACTTCACCAAATTCCACAACATCCATACTAATGTACCTCTCATGTGCTTCAACCATGACCAACCATCAGGAGCATGCAATAATACTCCTTGGCGCTCCTGCATGGGATGTACTTGGATGAACTGTCGACTACATATAGCCGTCAAGTCCACAGTACCTGCCCGATCTCAGCTTAAAATCATCCCAGACATAGATGGAGAAGGAAACACCATTATCGGTTCTACACGGTATTCCATTCTCATACCTGACCCCTGGGACAACCGGTGGAAAAGCCCCCAGAAAGCTGCCGTGTATGACCACATAGATATCAAATATCCCTCTTCCCACCTGTACATCTGGCGGACATACGTACGTACAGTCCACCAAGTCCACTCTGATATTAGCCTACAAGAAAAATCTCTGAATGACCAATTACAACCACATTCGTCTCCGTTTTCTTGGTTAACTTTTCTCCAAGAAGGAATCAAGTTAGCTAACCTCTCAGGACTAACTGACCTAACCTCATGCCTCATGTGTGCCTTCTTAGGACAGACTCCCTTCGTTGCAGTCCCTTACCCCATCCCTCTCAACCTTTCAGCCTCAACTTCTTCCTTCTCCCCCATCAGGGAAGTCGATCTCTACACCCCACCTGATTTTGAACAGCTACCTGTGTGCTATTCCCTAGGCCGAAACTTCCCTAGCTGTAACAGAACTATACGGGTAACCACTAATATAACAGCCCCACGAGGAACGTTTTTCTGGTGTAACAGGACCTTAACAAAAACTCTCTACATCGGTCTTTCCTCATCTCTTTTATGCCTCCCAGTAACCCTAGTCCCTCGACTCACTATATATTCTTCAGCCGAATTCCAGATGCTGCAAGCTCCCCATCACCGCACCCGATGAGCTGCCTTCCTACCCATTGCCGTTGGAGTCTCCCTTGCTGGTTCAGCACTTGCAGCAGGATTGGGAGGAGGGGCACTAGTCCACTCTCACCTGGCCATAGCCTGACTGACCTCACAACTCCAAGCAGCTATTGATGACTCTACTGAGTCTTTAGCATCACTCCAACGACAGATCACCTCAGTTGCCCAAGTTGCCTTGCAGAACCGAAGAGCCCTAGACCTGCTCACTGCTGAACGAGGAGGGACCTGTATCTTCCTACAAGAGGAGTGCTGTTACTACATCAATGAATCCGGCCTAGTAGAAACCCGAATCGAGAGCCTCCAGAAGCTCAAAACTAACCTGCAGAGTCATAAGTTCTCGGCTGAAGCCACAGCGTGGTGGTCTTCCTCTATGTATACCCTCTTGTCCCCATTGCTTGGGCCCCTAGTAGCCATTTGCCTAATCTTACTTATTGCTCCTTGCTTTCTACAGTTCATACAGCGGCGCTTTCAGGAACTGACTCGAGTCCCATCCACCAGATGCTGCTCCAACCCTGCCCTGAACGAGTGCAAGAAACAGATCTCTCCCTGAACATCCAGGCTCCTTAGGAAAAGAGACCTCTTCAGAACCCCCGTCGACCCTTGTCAGCAGGAAGTAGCCAGAGAGACAACCGACGCCCCTGACCCCCTCTTTTTCTTTTCTTTAAGGAGTCGGGAATGTTTGGAAAACTCTGCCTCTACCTTGAAAGCTCTCTCTCTCTTCCCCCCCGCCCCCACAGAGAGGCTCTCCTATTTTTACAAACTGCCCTGGCCTTCTCGCCTCCGCAGCCACCTCCCGCCGCTTTTGCCTTATCAGCACTCCCCCCGCCGCTTATGCCTCCTCAGCACTCCCCAGTTTCCCGCCGCCCGGCTTCCCGCCTAGCGGTTCAAACTGGCCAACAGCTGCCCACCACCTAGCCCCCAACTCTTCCTCTCCTCCAGCCCTTCTACCCTTATAAGACAACTCTGCCCCTCTGGGCGGCGCGGCCATTTTTCCTTTTCGTCCCGGCTGGCACGCCCGGAGGCTCTTTCCTCTCAATAAAGCCTGAACTTAAGAACTTTCTTCTTGCCTGCGGTCCGGTTTTTTTCCAAACGAGCTCAGTCTTCCCGCAGAGGGTAGGTCGGACAGTACCCATGTTGCCTTGTTTTGCCTTTACTTGCCTTGACTTAACATGGTGCCCATGGTTCCTTGCCTTGCCTCTCCATGGTTCCCATGGTGCCTTGCTTTGCCTTACCATGGTCCCCATCATGCCTTGAATTGGCTTCGCTTGCCTTGCCTTACCAGAAGCACTGTGGAATTTCAGTCTTAGGCCTGCACCTACAAGGTACAGGTGAATCTCCCCAAATGTGCCCTGGTCATCTCCAGGACACCTCTGGCTGTGTTCCCATGGGCTGCTCTCTTGCCATAGGGTCCTAGTGGTGGACAACAGAACTCTGCAGCTTCAGGGACTGCATGGGTGTGAGTGATACTCTGCCACTGCTGTGTGTCTATGTGTGTCAAATGATTGTTGTCTGTGTGTGTGTGCCTGTATGTGTCTCTCTGATTTCTCTTTCTCTTCTTTCCCCCTCCCTCTCTTTCTCACTCGCTGAGTCTGTGTGTGTGCCTGTGTGTGTATGCATTGGGACCCATATGCCCTGTGCATTGGAGGGCGGTTTCTTGCACCATGGCCTCTTTTTTGCTGAGTCTATCCCCTTGTCTTTGCCTGGGTCAGGTGGATGTACATCAGTCTTTTCCCTGGTCATTCTAGCTGGCATTTGTGAAGACCTGGGCAATGTCAGCAGGAGCTGCTTTGAACCAACATGGGTTTCAGTCACCTCCCCGTACTGAGTGTCCTCTTTCTTAGGAGGAAGACGACCATACTTCCCAGCCATGGACAAAAGCCTCAAAACAGCTCACTGTCCACCTGCAGGGGGGCTGTCCACCGATTACAAAGAAGATGGTTCCCACTTCTTTCACCTTTACCCTCATTGAGAAATCTAGCCATAGCTTGACATGCAGCAGAAACAAGGTCCCAAGAACAGGATAAGGCAAGCATCTCTGTGGCTCCAACTCTGGCCTTGCTGGCCAAGACAACCATTTAGCACTCCCCACCCTGGATGCCTGTGGAGGGGGCACTGTGCTGTATTGTGTTTGGAGTCTGTCCTAGGTTCTGTCCTCCCTTTCTCTGTCTTTCCCCTTTCTGCTAGAGGTTTCTAAGTCTGGCGCAGTGTCTTCAACAGAGAACACCTCCCAATTTAGCAGGTGGAAACTTCATGGGGATGTATTTCATGTCCGTTCCTTCCTTTTAAGCTGTTTCTGGATGATTGGGCAATTGTGATGATCATGGAGCTCTGGGCTTCTATCCCCTTGTTGGACAGGATGTCCTCTCAGTCTCCATGTCTAATAGGAGGGCTGCCTGGCTGGCCTTTGCCCATTCTACAAGGTGGTGTAGCAATTCCGGAAGCCAGGCACAAGTCAAGTCTGGTCCTAAAAAAGAGGCCCCAGGATGGTATGGTGACTGAAATCTATGGTAGTCCAGTGCAGCTCCCTCCACACATTGATCAGGCCTTCACCAACACCAGCTGGAACCACCAGAGAAATGACTGACTACTGGCTGCTCAACCCAGGCAGAGTCTTGGGAGAGGCTCAGCCAAAGAGAGGCCATCGTGCAAGAAACCACCCTCTGGTACAGAGGTCATATGTGTCCCAATGCATGCGCATGTGCACACACACACACCACACACACACACACATACACGTACACACACACAGATACAGAGAAGGAGAAAAAGTGGGAGCGGGAAAGAAGACAGAGAGAAATCAGAGACAGACTTACAGGTGCACACACAAACAACACTGCTTTCACACACACAGACACACAGCAGTGACAATATATCACTCATCTCAGGCAACCCCCGGAGCGGCAGTGTTCTGTTGTCTACCATTAGGACCCCCAGGTGACAGAGCAGCCCACATGCACACAGGCAGAGATGTCCTGGATGTGACCAGGGCACAACATTTTGGGATACTCATCTGTATCACTGAGGATGGGTTTCCCTGCTGCTTCTCTGGTGCTCCCTTTGCCTGAGATTTCTTCCTTCTGGCCCACCTTTGGTGAATCTTTGCCTCCTGAGACAATCCTGTGGATATCCTTGCAATGAGAGGCCTGAGCCTCAATCTGACACACTGCCACAGGGAGCTCCCTTGTGATGTCTCAATAACCCATCACCAGGACAACGTTGAATGGCACTATGGCACGAGGAGTGGCTTGTGCCTCGCTCATGTGCACTGGTGAGGTCAACTCAACTCGCACCTGGCTCCTGGAACTCAGGTTGTGGACACTTTAAGACATAGCTGACACAGAGGTAGCTTTGGTAAAAGTGGCAAAAGCTGCGGGTTTGGGGAGGTCTGGGAAAGGAGCCTGTGCAAAACCAAGCCAGGGTAAACCCACAGGACCCTTGTCCTCAGGGCCTCCATGAACAAGCAGTCTTCTAATTCAGCTCTCAGTGAAAGAGGAGATTCAGGGTGCATAATGAGCTCCTCAGACTCTGCCTTGGATCCCATTTTGGATCCCACTTTGTTAAGCTGGAATGGGATTACAATGCCCACCTTGCTGGACACAGAGAGATCCCATGGGCCAAAAGGCATGGAATCCCCACACTGCCACCCATCAGGTACCCCAGATGCAACCTCCCTTGCACTCAGTAAAACCCAATCCCTTTGGCTGGCTCCCTGGCATTTGTGGCAACCAAAAGATTCAGTGCGTGAAGTCACCTTCCCCAGGAGCAGAGAAACCGGATGGCACTTAAGAATGAGAGGAATGGCAGGTGAATTGCAACACTGCCATATGGAGAGGGCAAACACCAGCCAGACAGCCATCCAGTGGGACATGGAGACTGAGAGACCACCCCTGTCCCACATGGAGATGGAATCCCAGAGCTACACAATCATTACACCTGCCAAATCATTCAGAAACAGCTTTGGAGAGGGAAACGGACATGAAATGCATCCCCAAGAGGTTTCCCTCTGCTGGACTGAAGAGTGTTCTCTGTTGAAGACACTGAGCCAGACCAGGAAGCCTCTAGGCTTCTCAGAAACTGGGCAGACAGAGAAAGACGGAGGACAGAGCCTAGGCCAGAGTCCAGGACAAATACAGCACACTGCCACCTCCACGGGCAGGGTTATGGGGGTGAGTGCCAAACAGTCGACATGGCCAGAAAGTCCAGCATTGGAGTGACAGAGATGCCTGCCAAATCCCATTATTGGCACCCTGTTCTGGCTCTGTGTCGAGCTGTGGTTACATTTCTCAATAAGGGCAGAGGTGAGAGAAGTAAAAATCATCTTCTCTGAGGTCAGTGGGCAGCCCTCCTGTGGATGGACAATGAGCTGTGGTGAGGCTTTTGTCCAATGCTGAAATGTGTGATCATCTTGATGGGGAGGTGACTGAAACCCATGCTGGCCCAACACATATCCTTCTCCACATTGCCCAGGCCTTCAAAAATGCCAGCTGGAACCACCACAGAAATGACTGATGACCAGCCATGCCACCCAGGCAGTGACACTGGGAGAGACTCAGCATAAAACAGGCCATCGTGCAAGAAACCGCTCTTCTCCCAAAGCACAGAACACGTGGATAAGAAAGTACACACACACACATGCACACACACAGAAGCAGAGAGTAAGAGAGGGAGTAGGAAATAAGAGAGAGAGAAATCAGAGAAATCCAGGTGTACACACACAAACACCACCCCTGACACACAGCAGTGGCAAAGTATCACTCAACACCAGACAGTTCCTGAAGGTGAAGGGTTCTGTTGTCCACCACTAGGACCCTCGGGTGAGAGAGCAGCCCATGGGCACACAGGCAGAGGATTCCTAGAGATTACCAGAGCACATTTGGGAAGACTCACCTGTACCCTGTCACAGCAGAACTGAGACTGGGATTAGGTGCTGCTTCCCCAGAGTTCTCTCTGCCTGAGGTTTCTTCCTCCTGGCCCACCTTTGGTGAAACCCTGCCTCTGGAGACTATCCTGTGGACGTCCTTGTGAGGAGGGACCTGACCTCCATTCCTGTCACACTGCCACAGGGGGCTCCTCTGTGATGTCTCAGGAACCCATCACCAGGGCAACATTGGACATCATTATGACCCGAGGAGAGGCTCGTGCCTCGTGAATGCAAACAGGTGGGGCTGAATGGACTCTCGCCTGCCTCCCTGAACTCGGGCTGTGAACACGAAGAAATAGGTGCAGCAAAGGTTGCTCCCGAAAAAGCAGCGGCAAAAGCGGCGGGTTTGAGAAGGCACAGGAAAGGGGTGTGCAAACACAAGCCAGGGTCAAACCCATAGGACTTGTGTCCTCTGAGCCTCCATGAGCAAGCAGTCTTCTGCTTTGACACCTGGAGGAAGAGGAGATTCAGGGCACCTGATGGGCACCTAGGGTTAAATTTTGAATCCCGCTTGGGAAGCAGGAAAGGATTAGAGTGGAGAGTGGCGGGAAGGGCCTTGCTGGGGCACAGAGAGATCCCATGGGCCCCAAGGCCTGGTATCTCCACCCCACCACCCATCAGGTACCCCGGATGCAACCTCCCCTGCACCCAGCAAAACCCAATCCCTTTGGCTGGCTCCCTGGCATCTGATGCAGTTAAAATATTCAGTGCTTGAAGGCAGTGGGATGGAAGCCCAGAGGTCCACAATCATTGCACCTGTCCAATCACCCAGAAAAAGCTTTGGATGGAGAAACGGACATGAAACGCTTCACCAAACCCCCCAGCCACGGACAAAAGCCTCACCACAGCTCACTGTCCACCGGCAGGAGGGATGCCCACCAACCTCAAAGAAGATTGTTCTCACTTCTCTCATCTTTGCTTTAATTGAGGAATCTAGCCATGGTTCGACACAGGGCCAGAACAGGGCGTCAAGAACAAGATGTGGCAAGCATCTGTCACTCCAACACTGGACTTTCTGGCCAAGTCAACTGTTTGGCACTACCTCCTCCCTCAGATGCCCGTGGAGGTGGAAGTGTGCTGTATTTGGTCTGGACTGTGGCCTAGGCTCTGTCCTCCCTCTTTCTCTGCCTGTCCCAATT